GTCTATAACGACGCCCATTGGACTACCCCATTGATCTATACTTCATACCTGCGACTACGACGCGTACCAATCGATTACTGCTACCGTATTCTACTTGGTTATAGTAGCCAAAACCACTTAGCTACTTCGTTCAAATATATCCCTTTCCGGGACATATCAGGTCATTTACCCCATCTAAGCTAGGCTTACAAAACCATTTGGACGCTTCGAAATGATGCAATGTATAAGAAGCGTGTCTAGATAGATCAATTACGAGAGAGTAGTGAGTTCGATCCTCACTGAGTGTTCCTAACATTCGGTCATGATATAATGGAATATACGTACACCTGTGTTCCCCCTCACTGGAATATGATTGGCTGGTGTCCGTCATAAATACCGACGGACGTGTAGGAGAGTCAAGAGAGCCTTAGTCTGAGAGCTAAGTCTATAACGACGCCCATTGGACTACGCCATTGATCTACACTTCTTACCTGCGACTACGACGGATACCAATCGATTACTGCTACCGTATTGTACTTGGTTATCGTAGCCAAAAACCACTTAGCTACTTCATTCAAATAGATCCCTTTCCGGGACATATCACTAACTATAAGTGTTGCTTTATTTACATTTTCCTTACAACTTCCTGGCATTCTCAGCCGCCTTCTTTTTGATGTCTTCTCTTCATCTTTGAGGAAATTGTCCAGCAATCACCGTCATATTGGCGAACTGTAGTGCAGCACTGTTTTCTTTGTTTCTATTAAGAAATTCGCAAATACGCAAATATATATATATGGTTTTCCTGCATATATATATATATGTGTAAGATATATATATATATATATATATATATATGTATGTGTGTGTGTGTGTGTGTGTGTGTGTGTGTGTGTGTGCAAGAAATCCAGTAAACAACGTAATGGGATAATGCGCCGACCAATCAAGTGTGAAGCAAACGAATGAATCTGGAAGGTGGGACGAATTAGTTTATCAGCGACTCAAACAAGTCTTTACCGCATGAAAATAGATTGAACGGTTTTGTAAAGTGTTATGAAGTCATGCTCCGAGGTTTGCGCGCGAAAATCGAGTTTATATTGTTTGGACGCATAAATCGGAACGCTGACTATATTATTAAAAACAAAACGCTTGCGTTCTGAACATTTTTCATTTTACCGCCAATTGGGCAGGTTTTCGCTCAACTCTAAATACCTTCTAAATATCCAGCTCGTCGTGAGATGTGAGTGTTTTCAGAGAGAACGAACTGACAGGGCAACGGAAGTGCGTCTACATTTCACCCTCAAACGCGGGAACTCTTTGTTTGAAACAAACAATTGCATTATCTTTCTTCTGGAAATTTATCTCTTGCCTTTTCTCTTCATATCCGTCAATCAACCGGTAGAGTTTTTAGTTGTTTATGAATTTAAGACAATTCTCGCAGATAATATTCATTTTTGTCTTCCTGTGCACACACACACACATATATATATATATATATATATATATATATATATATATATATATATATATATATATATACATAGATAGATAGATAGAGAGAGAATAGAATTTGATAGATAGATAGATAGATAGATAGATAGATAGATAGATAGATAGATAGATAGATAGATAGAAATGAAAAAGAATGATATAGAGAGATGAACAGATCGAAAGAAATTAAAAGTATGAGAGAGATACATAGATAGAAATGAAGAGAATTTGATAGATAGATAGATAGATAGATAGATAGATAGATAGATAGATAGATAGATAGATAGATAGATAGGAATAGAATTATACCAATGCAGAGAAGAAGAAATGAAGATAGATAGATAGATAGATAGATAGGAATAGAATTAGACCGATGCAGAGAAGAAGAAATGAAGATAGATAGATAGATAGATAGATAGATAGATAGATAGATAGATAGATAGATAGATAAATGAAGATAGAGAGATAGAGAAAGAAATGAAAAGTATGAGACAGATAAATAGAAATGCAAAAAAATTAGCGAGAAAGAAATGAAATGTATAAGATAGATAGATAGATAGATAGATAGATAGATAGATAGATAGATAGATAGATAGATAGATAGATTTAATTCCTCACTACAAGCAACTGCCTTTCTGTAAGATAATCCTCTCTCCAAACTTTTACATACCTAGGAAGCGAAATAAATTCTACTGAAAAGGATGTGAAAGTCTGCATAGTTAAAGCCTAAATTAAATTGGATGTAATCTGGAAAACTGATCTACCAGTCAAACTCAAACAACGATTCTTTCGAGCCACTGTAGATTCGGTGTTTATGTATAGTGTCACTATTAGACATTAACTAAAATCCCATATTCTAAGCTTGATGGAACGTACATTCGGATGCTGAGAACTTTAATTAACATCTCTCAAAGACAACATACAACTAAATTCAAGCTCTATAGTCTACAATCTTACGCAAAAGTAGAATGCTCTTTGCAGGACACTGCTGGCGAGAAAAACGTGTGATCTACTGCAATGGATAGCTAACCAT